ACCCTCCTCCAAACCCCACAAACCAAACCGAATCCTCTGCAAAACAAACAAAAACCTCTCTCTTACATAGGTTGTACCAACACGCATCTCTTTTTTTTTTTCCCCTCCTCTCTTCCTCCTGCAGAGTTCGATCCCAAGGATGGATTTCACGGAGGCCTATTCCGACCGATGCTCGGCCGTGGGCCTTGCAGCCAGGGAAGGGAACGTTGAAATCCTGAGGAAATTAATTGCTCAGGGATACAGCATCGATGTCCCGGATAACAGGAGGTGGGTGCCCATCCACGAAGCGGCAGCACACAATTCCAGTGAGTGCCTGAGGCTGCTCATTCGTGCAGGTAAAGAGAACATAGTAAATAGTGTGGTTTTCTGCTCGATTACCCTGTCGTAGAAAATAGAAATGACGTAGATTTATCATGTTCTTAACTTGTTTTGGGAGTTCCTGCGTGGTTTCACAGCTGTGGTAAAGAGAAATTGGCAGGTTGTGGTTCGCCAGTGATGTTTGGAAGAGGCACATTTGTAGGCCACACATCTCAAATAACTCCCTCGTTTTCTCAAAGTAACTGTATTTTGGTACTTTGCTGCTGAATATCCCACTTTCCCCCTCCTCATCCCTCTCTGTAGCCCCATCCGATGACTACATCCACTCGAGGACGTTCGAAGGGCTCTGTGCTCTGCACCTCTCGGCACGTCACGGGGCCTTGGAATGTCTCCGTGTCCTCCTGGAAGCCGGGGCTGACCTCAACGATGTCACCACCGACGCCACCACCCCGCTCTTCCTAGGTCAGCTTTCCTGAAATCCCAGAAAACCAACTTTAAATTAAGTTCCTGTTCCGTGTCCCATAGATTTGTAGCCTAAATACCAAGGTTTAGGCTCAGAGATGGAGTGGCTCTGGAAATCCCCCTTTTATATTTATGGATAAATCTGTTTCAGGCAGTGTTTTAAAACAAAACTGTCGAACCAAATTGGTTTGCTGCATCACCTCTTCTTTGTTCCTAGCACAGGAAAGCTCTAGGAGATACAGGATTACCGTATGGATGAGGCTGTTTCAAGTCTTTTTGGTTTTATTTTAATTCCTCCCTGCTTCTTACATGAAAAGACTAATTTTTGCCATTTCTAGTTTAGTAATCAAGGTCCACCATTTTAGCATTTCTTCTGTGATTTATGTTTGACATAATTAAATGCTTTAAACGGTGAATCCTCAGAGTCTAACTCATCTGATTAAATGTGTTCATTGTTTTACCTCCATAGCCAGGCAAACATCACAGGTCCCGTGTTACCTTTGTTTCCAAGTCTGTTCCAAGATAGGGGGAATTTGGGCATCCATGCAGTTCATTGTCTACTGTGGAACTGTCTCCATGTTCCATGGGAAAGAGGGAGGAGAGAAACTTGCTTTTGTTATCTGTCTTAACACAGTGGAGGTGGAATTTTAACAAGTTTAACTAAAAATTTCGTGGATAATTTCCATTCTCCAACACGGTTTTGGGGTGTAAACACAAAAGACAGTAAGAAGAAATAAGACAAATTTAAAATAATTCTGATTATTATGTCAGGAAGTTGGCAGTGAGACCTTTTGAGTTTTTCAGCGAGTTCGTAAATCCAAATATTTAAATTCTTTCTTTTGAAAGTTCTTTAATAATTATTATTTTTCCTTTTTTTTTTTTTATTACTGTTCTATTGAAGCTGTTGAAAATAAACACACAGAGGTCATAAAGTTTCTGCTCCAACACGGAGCAAATATTGAAGGTCCTCATTGTTGGTCTGGATGGAATTCTTTGCACCAAGCTTCTTTTCAGGTAACCTTTAAGCACATCCTGTAATTTCCATGTCACTGGTGTGTTCTGAGTGATAATTTATTTATTTTATTGCATTTTTATTGGATACATTTTCCTAACCAACCTAAGCAGTCATAAGGTTGTACTTACAAATATGGTGGCTTAATGGTGCTAATAAACTCATTTAATTACCATTTGTACTTATCACATAAATGAGCAAATGTGATAAATTAATTGAAACTTGTCTGATTTATTTGACCATTAATTATTCAATGCATCTTTAGAATATTGACATATTGTGTCTTATTTCAGTTTGGAGTGTGTGTGGGGAAAACAGATGATGTAATTTCTTTGCTTTTCCGTTGGTTGAGAGTAAAAATACTTATTTCAGGGTTCCACTGAGATAATGGAAATCCTCCTGGAGAAAGGGGCAAGCAAGAACTGTAGGGATGACTTTGGAATTACCCCCCTGTTTGTCGCTGCTCAGTATGGCCAGCTGGAGAGTTTGCGGCTGCTGGTGTCCCACGGTAATAACGAGCCTTCATTTCCCTTTTTGAACCTTCATCAGCTGTCACTAAACACAATTTTAGTTCTGCTCTTGCACGTAATCTGAAATTTTAGGTTGGGGTGTTTTTTTTCTTTCCTTATTGCTGTGGAAAACTCGTTGAGTTTGGAGTCGCGCCGGGGAAAAATAATCACCGGCGAACGTGACTTTGGTTTTGTTTTGTGTCAGGTGCAGACCTCAACTGCCAGGCCAAGGACAGAGCCACCCCCCTGCTGATTGCTGCACAGGAGGGACACTTGGAATGTGTGGAGCTGCTCTTGGCAGCAGGGGCAGACCCAAACCTCTACTGCAACGAGGACCAGTGGCAGTTGCCGATTCACGCCGCGGCCGAAATGGGCCATGCAAAGTAGGTGGTGGAAAAGGCGTCCAGAAGATTCTGGTGACACAAATATAATCCCCAGGGAGGAAGTTTGGGCCTAAAAGGAAGAAAAATGAGTGTTCAAACTGATTTGTAGTTTAGAAGTCTTAATTCTTTTCACATTTTAAATGTCTGTTAGTAGTCTCTTTCAAACTGACAGAGAGTAGGTTTAGATGGGATATTGGGAAAAAATCCTTCCCTGTGAGGGTGGGGAGGCCCTGGCACAGGTTGTCCAGAGAAGCTGTGGCTGCCCCATCCCTGGGAGTGTCCAAGGCCAGGTTGGACGGAGCTTGGAGCAATCTGAGCTAGTGGAAGGTGTCCCTGCCCATGGCAGGGGGTGGGACTGGATCATCTTTAAGGTCCCTTCCAACCTCAACCATTCTTTGGTTGTATAATTTTTAATTCAGCATCTAACCTGGGTTTGATCCACATTCTAATGAGTTTAGAGGGTTTTCCACAGTGCTGAACCAGATACCAATTCACTTCATGGCCATTTTACTCTCCATTATAAAACATAAATGACATGGCTTTATACATGGCTTGAACAGCTGCTAATTAGAATTATATTCCTAACCAGTAAGTAGCAGAAGTAATTAGGTGCAAATATTAAGTTAGCTGAACCAGGCAGAAAAATCAAAACCACAAAACAGTCCCTTTAACCCTTCCAGAAATGCATTCGTAGCTTTGGCCAGTTTGAGTGATACAAGTCAGTTCCACTGCAGAAAGCCAAGAGTGGAAGGAAGTTTCTGGAGTAGCAGGACACTGGGGAGAAGGAGCTCTCAGGAACTCCATGATTTGCATGTATATTTGCACGTAACTGGTGACCCCTAAGCAGCACCAGTAAGTTCCAGTAGTAAAGGAACTGGTGTTTGTCACTAATGTGATGTAGCCTGGAGCTGTGAGCTATGAACAGAAAGATTTTTCTGTTCCACTAAATATTAATTTTTATTTGCAACTCACGTTTCCAGTTTGATTCCAGACTTCAGAAAAGTCTGGATTTAATGTGCAGCTCTAAAAAGGAGTGGGAGATAATAGGAAAGAGCTGTCCCTGGTTTGGATTAAAATATTTATTTCCAGCCTAAATCCATGCCAAAGCACAGTGTTTGCCAAGGACCTGTGTATGGAGTTATCAAGGTTGTTCTGTGCAGGCTTGGGAGTGAAAAATCAGGATTTTCTTCCAAACCGTGTGAAAATTGGCTGTGTGTTTAAAATGAATCGTGGCACGAGATCAGAAACCAGTGGTTTGAAATATTTGCAGGATCCTGGAGCTGCTGATCCCAGTTACTGACCGGATCTGTGACAAGGGCAAGGGCAAACTGAGCCCTGTGTATTCCGCCATATACGGAGGGGACGGGGCGTGTCTGGAAATGCTGCTCAAACAGGGCTTCAGCCCAGATGCTCAGGAGTGCCTTGACTTCGACTGCAGATCCCCCATGTGCATGATCTTCCAAAAAGAGTAAGGAAGCCTCTTCTGTTTTGAAACTATTCGTGCTTATATCACCTTTTATTTAACTTCAAACGTTCACTTTCCCGCCTTCCTCCCTCAGTTGTTGCCTGTCATTTAGCATTTTTTCCAGAATTCTGTTTAGTTCCCCCTTTGCAGACACTCCTCCTTGGGAATATTAATGCCAAGTCCCGCTGTGTGCTGCATTAGGGAAAACATCTTCAATAAAGGCTTTTAAATCTTCTTTAAACCCAGATTCTAACAGAGCGTTTCACTTGTGTGGATCAAAATTGATGGCTTAGGTGCTGCCTTTAAATTCATTAGAGGTTCATTAGTGGGGAATTTAGTCCATGGCATGCTCCTAGGAAGTTGTTTTTAAAAATCCTTGCATATTGTTTTTTCCCCCCTTCTGTCCTGGTGTTGCTTAAATAATAAATAATTTAAATAATTTAGGAAGGGATGCAGAGCAGGTAATTACTTAAATGTCCTGTGAATGAGACAGGTAACATATATCACCACTTTCCTGAAGAGATGTGCCCTCTAATCATTAACTAAGCTAAAAAGCAGCGCGCTAATTATCGGTCATAATCTCAGTCGTTATCACACCGTTATCACGTCATCACCTCGTTGTGATGGATAACGACAAAAGGATTGCAGTGAAATGGTTTTATTTTTAAAACCGGAGCTCCCTGCAAATACGGCTGGATGCTGAAAGTGGGAGATGCTTTCTGAGGGGAAAACTTAACGGCATGCCCCTGTTCCTCCTCCCTGTTCCCAGGTATTTTCACTTCATCGACGTTCTCCTGAAGCACGGGATCACCCTCCGGGCCGTTAACTTGGGACACTGCCTGTGCCATAAGAAGTTCCCTTTGTTTCGGCGCTTCCTGAGGCTGGGCTGTTCCCTGCCCTCCGGGGAGGAATTAACGGATTTTATCCACTACAGCAACACGGTGCACAAGGAATACAAGCAGTGGCTGCCCTCCCTGCTCCTGGCTGGCTTTGACCCCCTGAATTTCATGTGTGCCCTCTGGTGAGCAGAGCCCCTCTCCCCTACTTGCTAAATACCGCGGGCAAAGCTTGGTTTATAACCTGGGCTTTCCCAGGATGGGCCTTGATAATCAGTTGCCACGATCAGGAATGGGAGGGGCTGTGGAAAGTCTGAGATAAATCATTCGCACGCCACCACGTCTGGAGCCGGGGAAAAAAATTCGGTGTAGGAAGAAAGCCAGACTGGAGGGAGGTTGCTTTATATCACTCCCCCGGAGAAAGGCATCACTGCCCGACTTTTATATAGAACATCTCTTTATAGCCCCCAAATTTAGCTCAGATTTTGTAGGTGTGTGTAAATACTGTAATGCAGCGATGGTAAGAAGAATTTCAAATGGGAGAAATAGGTCAGGAGAGATGGGATGGGAAGCAAATGGGAAGTGAAGCCGGGCCAGGGCTGGGAGGAGAGGAAACGGATGCGGTTCAAGATTGTTAAACAAAACAATGTGGCAAATGTTCCAGTCTGGGCTTTATTTTTTTTGTTTGTTTTTTTGTTTTTTTTTTTTAATTTAAGTTTTTCCACGTACAAATAACGACTTGGTGATGTTTTATATTTAGTTGGGCACTACAGAATTCAACTCCTGTTTAAAGTTCTGAAATATTTGTGTTTTCTGCTGGCTGTAGTAAACACCCTACAAGGTTGCAACTCAGTGACTGAACAAATCTCACTGTCCTTGCATATCACACATGGTGCTTTTTGATATTTTACTCCCTAACCCACAAATACTTTTTATAGCAATTACTTCCTCTGTTTGAACACCCACTTTTTAATATAACACCCATCACACCGTCATCTAGAAAAATAACTTAGTTTTGGAAGGAAACGGAGGGAAATAAAATTACATCAGTAAAGACTTGTGCTGTAGAATTACTTGGGATTTCTCTGTAGTGGCTTCCTGTTTCTAGGCTTGGGATGGAGGTTGTTAAGGATTTGTCAGAAAAGCTCTCTCTCTGTGTTGTTCTCATTATTCTATTTATGCTGTTGTGTAAAATGGTATTTTAGGGGAGTTTTTGTCACGCAGGATTTTCTCTGCGAGTGAAAACGTCCTTAACTTTGTCCTGGAGTTCATGAACTGGAGCAGACTTCCTCGAGGTGTGGAGGAATACCTTTCCCAATACAAGGAGAAGTTCACCTGGACTCCCAAGAGCCACTTTGGTAAGCAGAAGAGGCAGGAGAAAAAAAAGTCTGTGTGTATGCCAGCTTCCAAGTTATTTTTTTATTTGATATTCCAAATTATTTTTTTAATTTGATTTGTATTTCCAGTGGAGTGTCTGTCCTGTTCTGTCCAAAGCTTTGGACAGTAATTAAAATACAAACCATAAAAAAATCAAATCTGCTCAAAAATGTGGTCAGCCAAAATATTCAATTGGTTGCCCAGGAATTTTTGGCAGTTCACCCTTCAGAAAAGCGGCTTTAACACACAGGTGTGACCGAAAAATTGTGCTCAGGTGTCTGTTAGTGACTCCTTTCAAAGCCAGTTCTTATTTAAAAGATCTGTAAAGATTTCTGAAATGTGAAGGTGATAATGTTATTTAATAATGCTTCCTTTGGAATGTTTGAGGCCAGAAGGATGTTTTTGGAGCTAAAAGAAAACCACAACGGTTTATTTGGGGAAATTGAGGTGAAGTTCCCTCTTTGTTTCCTTTGCTATTAGTAAATATATTTGTGTTGTAAGAGCACCCAGTAACCACAGATGGAGAGGGAAAGGGAGCTGGGGGGGGCAAAGGAAAGGGAACAGAAGAATTCAAGGACTGGCAAATCCCTTCACTGCAGAGAGCTCCGCTCGTTACCTGCCAGAGCCCGGGGTGGGATCCGGGGAACTGCAGGCGGTCCCACAGTGTCCCTGATTGACTCGGGGTTCAATTTTCCAGCCTTCATTCCGCCCCTGTCTCACCTGTGCCGGCTGGAGATCCGGTCCTTGCTGAGGAGCGACCGGCTGCGCTCGGAGCGCGCCATCCGGGAATTGCCGCTGCCGGTTTGCCTCCAGGAATACCTGCTCTACCTGGACGTGCTGCGGGTCAACGCTATCCCAGACCTGGAGGATTCCCCGGGGCAGGGAGAGCAGGCAGCTCCTCCCACCGCTCCCTCCGTGGCTGAGGATGCAGGGAGGAGCGACACCAGCAACACCAGTGCCTGAACTCTGCAGGTTTTGTAACGGGAATTGGGAGACACGACTGTAAATACCCGCTGTAAGAATTCTTTTCAAGCTGTAGTTTTATACTACGTCTATAACTTTGCTACGACTTCCATGATTTATTGTTTAAAAAGCCTGTTGTAGCTTTCGAAGCGAACATTTTCTGGTTTTGTTGGTTTTTTTTTTTTCTAACTGTTAGGGGGTAAAATGAGCTTGTTCAATGAACACAGCTTACAGAGTGGTCAAAATCTGTCAGTGGACGCTTTATTCCAAATACAGCGTTTACCAAATGGCACAACCTGACAGTCAGGGAACACAGTATTGCATCATTATTGCCAATTTATGTGTTGGGGAGGAATGTAGCTGAACCAGAGAAAGGCAAATAACATAAGAAAGGAAATTGTTTGCTGAAGGAACAGTGGTTCTCTTTTTTTTTTCCCCTTCCCTTGGTCATCAACATTTGGCAGAATGTCGGAGCTGGAGGCTTGGAGCCTGCGCCCAGTCCCTCCCCTTGCTCAGCCCGGGGCAAGGCAGGGAATGTCCCCACGGGCACCACCGTGTGCCAACAAAAATTCCTCCTCTGGTGAAGTGAAAAAGGACCCTCCGTCCTCATGGCCGGGCAGGGACATCTCGGGGAGCACAGCGGGGTCCCTCGCTGGGAAAGCCCTCGTCCTGCAGAGGAGAAGCTGCTGGGAGCACTGGGATCACTGGTAGTAGATGCTGAAGGCATGGAGGATGTACAGGAAGGCTGTGAGGAAGGCGAAGAACTGCACAGGAGGAAGAAGAGCACAAGCTGGGGTGAGCCGGGAGGGTCCAACCCCACCTCCTCCCAGTGAAGCCTCCCAACCTAGAGCTCTCCCCAAGCCTCAAAGAAGAGGCAAAGTTCCCAACTTTTCCCAGGAGCCAGCCCTGCAAGGTGGACCCTGGAAGCTCATGGTGGCTGCACAGCACAGCCAAGGTGAGGAGCTGAAGCTCTGCCCGGTGAGACGCTGCTGGGCTCGGGGTGGCTCTGCCATGGCTTTAATGTTTGCTGCTGCCTCTCCCAGGGGGAATTGTGGTTCTCCAGCCTGCCCGGGGTGCTCCGGGCCCACTCACCGAGGCAGCACTGTTGAGTTGGTAGTAGAGAGGTGAGTTGGGGCTGAACTCAGAGTTGATGGTGGCGTTGGCCTGCAGGACAGCGGCGCTCATGTACAGGATGGCCGTGGCACCGTGGTACAAACTGTCCTGCAAAGCAAGGCTCGGGTGAGTGCTCCAGAGGGACACACAGCCGGACAGGGCTGGGATGGACCCTCCCTGCCGACAGCTGCCGGCGTCCCGGCCCCTCCTTACCAGCACTTTCCAGTTCTCGCTGTTCCTGTGGAAGCCCAGGAGGTAGCTGAGGAGGAGCAGCAGGGAGATGAGGCAGGAGGTGAGGGACACGTACATCACCCATCCCTGCAGCAGCGGGAGGGACACGGAGGTAGCGGCGACGAGGATCCACACCCAGGTCCCGCAGAGCTGCCGGGGACAAACAGGCGCCTCGGGTGAGCACGGGATGAGGAAAACTCCTGCCCTCCAAGTCCCTCCTGGGCTGGCCCCAGCAGCCAGCGGAAGCCCTGCATCCTTCCCGGAGCATCCCGGCACGACAGCGGCACCGGTTTCCTTGAACACTCATGGGAAGTGAGTGTTCCTACGAAAGGGAGAGGTTTGCTGCCGCCTTCCACGCAAGGAAATGTCTCACCCTGAGGCGTTTGGTGCTTGAGCAGAAAATTGGGCTTTTATCTGGGAAAGGTGAACGGCCACAGCCACAGCGTTGCCCGGCCCTGCCCCGCTCGTTAATTCCCAGGGCTTGAAATCCAGCATGAGGAGGCCTCCTCACAGCTCCCCACACCAGCCCCGAGCCAGTAGCTCGCTCTGGATCCACCCAACAGGTTTACTGTGCACAAACAGCACCAGGGGTTTGTCGGGATGAGCCCGTGCTGCCCTGTGCCACCCCATCTCCGGTGGGCGAAGCCCGGAACTGCTGCGGGGAGCTGAGCCCACTGGCACTGCAGGGATTGTGCCTGTGGAGCAGCGGGGTGTGGGTCTCCAGCCCAGTGTCAAAGTACACCAGCTATTATTGCAGCCAGTCGCACTGGGTGCCCTCTGGACCCACGAACACTTGAAAGAATCGTGGAATGTCACACATCAGAAGACGCCCAATTGCCTTCAACCCCTGGGAAGACTCGATACAGGATAGACACAGACAGGCTTGATACAGAGAGCGAAATTCCCTTGATTTTCAAGCAGTTTCTAGGTGCTAACAAGAGCTGCTTGTGCCCTGAGGAGCCAGCAGCTCTTCAGCCTCTCCTAGCCCTACGGCAGCCGGTGACCCTCGGATGGAGCTGGAGTGTACCTTGTCCTCAAGCTGTTCCAAAAAACCCCATCACGAAGACCACCTGTCCAGCACAGGCTCAAAGACAAGATGTTACTTCCCACAACTGCTGTGTCCAGGATCATTTGGGGGCTGCTCCCAGGAATTTAGCCGTGAGCCAGGTGCCGTAACGCAGCGGAGCTCGGGATACTCACGATCTCGGGCAGGATGAAGGCGTAGGGGATGGTTTTGAAGACGGCGGGTCCGGAGGGCAGGGCGGTCTGTGTGGAGGCCGTGGAGGGACCCACCGAGGCCATGTCTCCTCAGCTGACACCAGGATCACTCGGCTCACCCTCGCCTGCACCGGGTTTTAAGGGACACACCCGCGGGACGTAATCACAGGAACCAGCCCAGGCTGGCACTGCGCCGGCCCGGGAGCCCTCGGCACCCGCCCGGCACTGCGGCTCCACACGCCCCTCTGCCAGGGCTGGGAGGGCAGCGGGACCCCGGCCCTGCCACACAGTCAGTTCAAGGTCATTACCCAGAGGGGAGAGGAGAAAACTTCCTACACACCGGGGCAGAAATGTTTCCTGCAAACAGTTGCTGTCCTTGGCACGCTTCCAAGCCTGAAATATTTTCCCTTCCAGTGTTGTTGCCTCCTCCCCTTTCTGTTCAGGTTTCTGCTCCGTGTTCACATCAGACCCCTCCACGCCCTGCAGGCACATCCAGCCTTCCAGAAGTGGCTGGCAGATGATTTTGACAGGCAACACTCTGGAACAAGCCGGGAGGGTTTGCCCCTGTGCTCCCAAATGCCCTGAAAGGTCTGAGAGAGAGTTGCTGGGATTTCTGCATCCTGATGGATGCACTTTGGATTCGGGAGGCACTCGCTGCTTCATCCAGCAGACTCTGCCTGGCCCCAGAACTCCCCAGTAGCTGATGGGATGGAAGGCTGAAGGTGACCCAGAGGGGACAGAATCACCTCACTAACTGGGGCAATGTGCTCCAGCAGGAGGACACTGTCCCGGTAAGATATCCCATCTGTGTTAGGAGAGTCAGGTGATGCCCCAGGAACTGCCAAGCCTTGTGTGACACAGACCAAAGATCAAATCCATGTTTCCTGTCTGAGCCCTTCCTAGGCCGGGGGAAGCACTTTGTGGCATTTCTGGAGGCTCCAGGGCACAGGTGCTCCCGTGGGAGCTGCTCTGGGGCTCTGTGCACTATGCTTGAAAGATCTTGTTTTAAATCATTTCCCACCTGGCAAAACTGCCTGGCCTGGGCCGAAGTCCATCAGACACAGTGGCAATGTCCCCATCACGCTGCAGGAAGCATCCAGATGCTCCAGCACTAAAGGGAAACCGGATTAGTAATTTCCCCCTGGGAAGAGGCAGCACACGGAGACTGCGGTCACAAGGCGCTCGGGGAAAAGCAGCTGGCACAGGGGTCAGCACGGAGGGAGCCATCCCAGGGGAGCCAGTGCCCTGAATTCCCACCAGCTGTTAGGTGTGTTAGGTCAGGCACATTCCTGTGAATGGCCCAGCCTTCTCCTGAGTGGGGGAGAAAAGCAGACAAACAGTCTAAAAATGGAGGAACGTGCTGTCCACGGGTTGGGCAAGAGAGGATTTTTTCCCCTCACCTGGCTGCCCTTGCTCAGCAGCATTCTTAAGGATTTCTGCTGTTCCCCTTCCCTGCTCCCAGCCTGCTGGGGGACAGGGACAAAGGGCCTTTTGTTCACCCTGATTAAAACAACACTGGGAATTAATTGGAAGAAGCTGCACAAGAGGAGGAAATTGCTGAGAAGTGGAGCCTCAGCTTCCGCAAAATATGGCACTCGAAGTGGCTACAACAGGTAGTGACAGACAACAAGCAGAGCCTTGTCCAACGTTTGTCAAAAATTGAAGTTACACTGATAAAATAATTCCAGTCTCTCCCAAAATGTAAATTTGTTAAAATACTCATTACGATTCAATAGTACGGTCCCTTTGGTAAGAATTTATTTGTGTTGCTACCCCGTCCTTAGAGAGCCTGAATTGTTCTTTAATCCATTAATTCTCCAGGATTTTTCCTCACTTCTCCTAAGAAATCGTAAGCCAGCTCTGAGATGTCAAAGGCTTTGTGGGTGGTTTCTGAGGACAGCAGGTACTGCAGAGCGCCGTCGTTCTCCCGGCTCTTCCTCAAGAAGTCATGGATCGCCTTCCAGCGGGACATTTCTGCCTCTTCCTCAGCCCACTTGTAGCTGGGGAGGAACATGGACTGGAGGAGAGGGAAGACAGAGTCGTGGTACACCAGGACAAACACAGACTTCAGGAATTCTTGATCTCTCTGCAGGGAAGAAAATACTTTAGTGCAAACTCGTGGTGCTGCCAAGCACTTCTCCAAAGGATTGTGCACAGGGAGAAGACCCAACCAAACAAGTAACCCCCAGTACCAGGATAACAATGGGAAGAGATTTGACCTTCCTAAACAAATATCCATTGTCTTGGATAAGCCTAAAGAATACAAACCATAGATCAACAAATCTGCTCTCCAAAGCCCTGCCAGTGCTCCCACAAACCACAGGCACTGAGATTTGCTTGTGGGGTATTTATATTCCTTCTTAAAACTAGTGCCACATCCTCCCTGCCCTGGGAGGATGAAACTCTGCTCATTTTCCTGAGGTGGAGAGAAGGAGAACCAGGAGCTCTGATCCCGCGCTCCTCTGAGCAGGAGGTGAGGCTGCCCCTGGGTGCTCCAAGGTGAGAATTATGTGTTCCCCTGTAGAGGCCAGTCTGGAAAACCCAGAGACTTAAGGATCAGCCTGGTCAATTATCAAACACACAGGAAGGATCCTGACTGCTGCCAGCAGGAAAACTCCTGGAGCACGGAGCGTTCCAGAGCCGCGAGGGCCGTGCCCGGCATCGAGCACTTCACGGCTCAGCGGGAGATGTGGCAGCTCAGAGTCACAGAGCCATGAGGGGTGAGCACCCTGCAGGCAGCAGTCCTGCCCTGGGAGGGGCACATGCCAGTCAGGTAAAACTGGATGGTTCTGGGATCCCGGGGAGTCACCGATTCCGTGAGCAGCTCCCCTCTCCTTTTGGATGAATGGCCCTGAAAAAGCCATTCTGACTCAAGGGTTTGTGTAAACAGGGAGCAATCCTTGTGCACGGGGAAGGAAACATCCCACTGCTGCTCCCAGGAAGTCCTGGATGGAGAGCCAGTGGTTTCCCCATGGAGTTCCCTGCAGCTGCTCTCCGGGCAGAGGACAGGAGGTAGGGCAGGGTGAGGGCGAGCCTGGTGACAGCCGGGTCAGTTCTCCAGCTGCCTCCACACCAAAACATGGGATTAAAACTGTCTGGGGTGGGGAGATGGGAGGAATCTGGGGGCCTTTTCCCAGGCAGACCTGAGCTTAGAGGTTGGAGGAAGGCAGATGATTTTGTGGGCATGCACAGCCTCTTTTGTATCCATGGAAGTAACAGGTTCTCCCCCAACAACACTGAGACAAACAGTTACAAGTTAATTTAATTATCCTCCTCCTCCTGGTTTACTGTTATAAATCAGAGTAAGAAGTGTTAAGAACTCTATTTAACATGTCTGTATTTTTTAAGTAAGTGAGAGGAAAAGCTGAGCAGCAATAACACTGACAGGGAGCAGCTAGTTCAGACTCCACTGAATACATGGAAAGAAAAACCAATAGTTTGTTACCTTCTCAGTTCTCTTCAGCGTTCTTTCTCTGTCTGCCCAAGCACTCTAAAAATGAAACGTAAAATCAGACCAAGGCTGTGGAGAACTTTATCTTTTCACAGGACAAAAACACCCTCAAATTTTGTCTGGAAATCCTGACAAGGTAACGTACCCGAAGCGCATCCATCAGGTCTGGCTGATCCACGAGCTGAGGGAAAGTTGCTAAAATAGGATTACAGATTAAATCTGAAACAGAAAACAAGCACATTCACAAGGCTAAGTACAGAGCACATCCGGGTACTCAGCACATCCCTTCCCCTCGGATTATTCCAAAGGGAAAATGAGCTGTAACAGTTCTCCTGAGGGCAGGGAAGGCAGGAGAGCTCCCTAACAACTGAGTTCTCTGACTGTAGCCAGCTCTCAGTGGCTGGGAGACACACCAGGAGAGCAGACACACAAAAACCAGCTCCTGGTTTACTGGGAGCACCAGCAAGCATATATTCCTTTTAAATATTCCTCATTTACCTGCCTGAGGGGTTTTTTCCCTCATTCCTGCACCTGCCTTTTTTTTACACACAGCTGCAACTGTGCTGCTTGGTTGGGATGTTATGGATAAACACACTTGGGTTCTACCTCGACCTGGCGTGTCTTGTGTGGCATTTTAAGAGAAGCAGGTACCAAGTGGCACAGAGAATTTACCAAGTGGGGTAAATCCCACTGCACAGGGGTCCTGGTGCTTTTTGGGCTGCCTCTCATAAAGAAAGTGCTCTGCTCCTGTCCTTATCTTCATTGATGAGATTGTGGATAAGATTACAAGTGACAGAGGGCAGAATTTTGGTTGAAGTCTTTCCTTTCTCTCGTGAGTTCAAATATTTAATATACACTGTCGTTTCTTCCTCTTGAAGCTGATGGAAAGTTTAGTAAACACGAAGGTTTTACTAAACCAAAACATTTAAAGGCTGCAGGCCAGAACTGATGCCTCCTGTGAGACATCAGGAGGCATTTTAAACTGCCTGTTTCTGAAGTGATGGGTGATTTTGTAATAACAGAAATCTTCCTTAGTGACACACAGCCAGGAGAACTTCTGAAACACCTTTCAGTCATTTCAAATGAGGTCTGGATCCAAAGGGGTGCAATTTAATCCCAGGAGAGCCTGATCTGCTGTGCCAAGTTATGAAGATCAAATCAGGTAAGTGTGGCAGTTCTCACCTCGTCTTTAAAACTAAGCACTTCGGTTTCTCTCTGTGAGTTTATTAATTAAAGCATTAATTTATTTTCACCTACTGAAATCAGTACAGGCAGGATGTATGTTAAAGCTGAAGAAAATCAGGAAGGGAGTTAAGCACCTCTGACAGATGAAACTGTGATTCAGGTGCTTAAGTATGATAAAGATTCTAAGTTAAAAATGTCAGCAACTGCACAAGGGAATGTATTTACATAGGAACAGATGATTCATAATTCAGTCTGGAGACGAGATGGGAGAAAACACAAGAAAATTGCTTTCGGTACCAATATAAATTCACCTGTGGTACAGTTAAGAAATGTAAATTTTCCTTATTTCAAATGGATTTTAAAATGGGGAAGGCTATAAACTGTTATTAGTTTTGCTGAATAAGGTACAGAGTTGCAAAATCAGGGCAAGCCCCTGAGTTCTAAAACCAGAACTCTTCCACTTCTGTCTCTCC